CTCAATATTTTAAAATAAGTTATAGGCTTTAGAGATCATTATTATTCTTTTCTCTGTTTAGCATAAAGCACAAAAAAATCAGTTTTACAAGGAAATTAAGTGTAATGTACCAATTTAGGAAATTGTTTTAAGTTAGTCCAAAGACCTGACTAATATCTTTTTGAGTAACTTAAGCTTTTAACAGTTAGGTACCATGTACTTTATTCCTCAATGCCAGACCTCTTTTCAAATCTTTTCCACAATTTATGCAATGAACTAACCTACTTGTTCTTGAAATTTAAACTGTCAACTTTATTTTATTTTGCTATTAAAAAAAAAAAAATAGTAATAATCTCTCTCCACCCTTCACATAAGCCTTCCATGCAATCAAGAACATAAGTTCCTAAAAGATCTGAATTACATGATTTCACTTTGTTATATGTATTTTTTTTCCTCCCTTATCAGTTTAAAAACAGAAACCAAACAAGAAAATATTTTTTCTTCCAGTTCAAATTAGCATTATTGTCCATTGTTTTATTGCAATGCTCATTTCCATTACATTAAATGTTATGGAAAGGGAAATAATTGCCTTTAAATTCAAAAGGATAGAGAGTTAATGACAAGAAGGACATGGGACTGCAATGCAAGCATTATCATATAACTATAACTTTACCTACAGTTTATTTTCTTTACTTTACTATGTGGTAAGTACAGAGAAATAATAGCTTCCAGAAAAAAAGCTCTAAAAGAAACATCTATTATAATTTTCTGCATGAGTCTCCACATACAATAAAGTGACAGGATTTGCATTATAATTTGACATACAGAACAACACAGGCAAAAATTGAATTCAGAGCTATTGTTAAGAAACTATTTTCTTTTCTTTTCTTTTTTTTTTAATGCAAATACCCCAAAATAATGTTTCGTGCTATATAGACTGTATACATGATTTGATCTTATATAAATCATAAGGGACAACACATATTTTTGTCTCCCAACAATACTTTGAATTAATTATTTTAACTTTTTAAAGAAGAATTTGCGAATTACTCTGGTGAAACTCTACCGTAAGGTAGCCATTATTCAGATGCTGGCTGGGCATCAGTGATCACTTGGAAGGTGTGAGCCATTGCCTTTGAATCACAGGACTTGTTTTATTCTTTTTCCCACCTCTCTCCTTTGCTTTTTAAACTATCTCAACTGTCTGTTTTTCTTCTGTTTGCTCTTTTTCTATTGTCTTCACCATCCCATAGAAAGGTCAGAGTGAGTTAGTGGCTGTGTGGTCCTCAGCTGGCAGCTGGATCAGCCCCTCACGAGTGTCATTTCTTGTGCCTGCTCTTCCTGAGGCATTGCTAATATAACATTGTTATCTAATTTCAAGCCTCTGTATTATACCACATTACCAATACCAAAAATGAAGGATACATATTGCAAGTGTCATTCTGACAATGGTAATTCATCCTTACCTTGAAAAAATGCATCAAAGGTATTTGAGCTGCTTGACTGTAGAATGAACTTGTATAAGGGTAGCTGATTAATTATTCCCAAACCACCAGAGGGTCTAATATGTCTGACAGTGGCATGTTCTGTCATATGATAACTTGCTGTATATAATTCTTGGATAACTGGAATTTTCAGATGCAGTAGAAAATCTGAATCTCCTTATGCTGATGTAGTTGTGCAATTAAACTTTGTATTTCACCTATCCTGATCTCCCACCAGAGAAGGTTTAGACTAGATATTAGTTAAAATGTCTTCATTAAAATGGTGTCAAGCATTGGAACAGGCTGCCTAGGGAAGAGATTGAGCCACCAATGACTCAAGGTATTTATTTACCAGGTGTGTACGTGTGGCATTCGGGGATGTGGCTGAGAGATGAACTTGGCGGTGTTGGGCTTACAGTGAGTTGAAGATCTTTTCCAAAGTAAATTATTCTGTGATTCATCCCACAGTCCAGATGTTTAATGCCACCCCCCAACTTGGAGAGCCAAGGTAAAGGCTGTGAAATTTATGTTGCAATTAGAGCACATATTGGAATTCTTTCTCACATTCAGATCTTTGGTCTTTGACTTGTATAATAAGGCTGCTGTAATATAACTTTGAAAGGAAATGGTATTTGATGCAGAAATTATGAAACTCCTGAGATCTCCATCTGTTTTTAAATCTTTATTATGCTTCACTTACTTCCTATCATCCAGTTTTTTACCTTTTAGAAGGTGAAGAGAGCCTGTAAATGAATTTTTAATTTTTTAGAGGATTGTTAATCCATTATCTGTTATTTTACAGCTGCAGAAAAAGAAGGGATGGGTCTTCTTCCATTTTTATGAATATATGTTAATTCATTGATCCTCTTCCTGTTGATCACTGAGGAATCTTGATGTATAAACAGATAATATTATTTGGAAAAATTTTGGTACACTTCGATCATGAATACAATAAGAAGGACATAGCATGTGAAATAATATAGGCACATGTAACTGAATAATGGAATCACTTAGTGAACAAATGTTTTAGGTCCCTTTCTAGATTCAACTTAAAAGATGATCCACATGAAAGTTATTTCAGAAATGTATATAATAAATGTTAGTTTAAGTAAACATACTCTGGAGAAGAATAGAGAAGGAGAAATTTAAATATTGAATAGAAATGAATTATTATTACTATAGCAAAATAATACCAGAATTTCCCAATTTATTTTCAAAATCACTTACTTTTCTACTTAGCAAAACCCATTCTGGTTGGGGCGGGGGAGGGAGGATTTGAGAGTGAAATTTTGTTGCTTTTAAAAATGCTAAAGAACAATCCTGTAATGAAGAAAAATTACTGAAAATTTGAATGTGTATTAGCCAACATCAAAATGAATCCTTTCACATAAATGATTGCTGTAATATTGACAACATAGGTAAATACTTTTGAAAAAGCCTGAAAAGGATCAAGCACAGAGTTTAATATGACATCTTGCTGTTAAGTTTCTACAGCATTTATTTTCTGTAGATACTAACTGTATCCACATGGATGTTTTGAATGTCATGCTTTCTCAGGAACAGTAGTTTGAATGGATCTCACTGATTTACTGTGCGTGTTCCATTTAAAACAAAATTGCATAGGTCTGTGACAAACAAGGTGAGAAATATATAGGAACTAAAGAACAAAAATAAACACAAATGAGTCAAGGAAAAACAACGGATGAAAGACATGTGAAGAAAAAATTAAAACAGTGTTTGAAATTGCAGAGAGCTACTATTCTTTGTCATGCTAAATTTTGCCCAAATGATTAAGTTCTCCTGGATCAATATTTCAACTCATTTGGTGAAGCATAGCTAAAATTCTCAAGGGGTAAAATAGATTAATTTTATTAAAAATCTGTATTTTTCTCCACTTCCAGCACCTTGTTTTTTGGGAAGAATGTTGTTTAAGCTGCATACAAAACTCCATTTTGTCAGTCTCAATTGAAAGATCATCTGCAGTTAGGAATAGTACCTGTAATGTCAAGATTTGCAACATACTCTCCTACAGAATAAGACAACACATGAATGGGAGGCATAAAATTTATTTTGTGGAATGCTCTCTAGCATGACTTTAAGACAGCAATACGTGTCCAGTATGAGATCTGGAAATATTAACTGCAGTCTAATTGTAGAAAAATATACATTTACAATAGTATCCAAAGAAAATAACAAAAGCGCCACAAACCCTGGTCTCCATATCAAGTATTTGATTTTGTCCAAGGTGTTGACTAATCCTTGAAACATGTTATAAAACCCCCACCAAAATACTGTACAGTAAGAAAAATCTATGGAAATTAGAGAATTGGAGAAAATTCTTTTGAAGCAGCTAAGTTTGGTTCAAGTTTAGGAAATAGTGACAATTGCTGGTTTCCCTCAGGATTTGTCAGAAAAAAAATGCAGTTTCTTTATGCATGTACTAAGACAAGCAAGCAAGCAAAAACAGACAACCAACCACAAAAAAAGCAAATCAACCAAAGAAACCAAGCAAGGAAAACCCCCAAAACCCACACCTCTCATACACTTCAGGGTTCCTGAAATTGCAAACATTTTCAGCAATAGTGTAGCAGTCAGTGGTACGTACAGGGCTGTTCAGTTCACCCAAAGAGAAGATTCCAATGGTGGGAAGCTGAACTCTGGATTGTGCTATGTCCTCAGTGATCATTGATTGGTGATTAGTTGTTTAGTTCATTCCATATATAGTCACCTACACTTAAGCTTCATAATATAATTTGAATTCTACATTCATCAGTTTAGCATTCTCACAAATGTGCTGGTAGAAACTAGAATAAGAAAGAAAAATGCTCTCCTTTCTTCCACTTTTTTGATTTTTTTTTAACAGGTAATTTCTCTGACAGCCTGAATGCTTCTTAAGGAAAATATTCTTACTGTATGATCTTAGTGTCTCTGTAGAGTACGATGAAAACAAATTGCTTCTTGACAGATTCCTGGAAGGAGTGACAGAGAACATGGGCCACCTCTGGTGTTGAAGTTTACACCATGTGAATCTCTGTCATCTTTCCTCTCATGGAGGAATCAGGTGATAGAATGATTTTATTTCTAGGACATGTTATTTTTAACACACTTCGTATCTTTGAAACAAATATATCTATGTAATTTTGAAAATAAATGCTGAAGTAGTTGAAGTAAATCAGTTTTCTTGGGGAAGATGCTTTTTAAGTCCCTTTGAAGCAGTGCAATTGGTGTAAATGAGTATTTCTGACATTTATAATGAGGTCACAAATACACCTAGTAGAAAATTTTCTACACCTTTTGAATTCCCTATATAACCACATTGTCCTAGTAACTGCTTTTAAATGATAAAAACATTCCTCTTTCCCACTGCCTGTAAAATTACAAATAAACAAAAATACCAGTGTCTGGAAAGTAAGATTATAAAGTCCTTGGATGTATGGATCAAGAGGACATTTAGAACTCAGAAAAATATTGCTTTAGGTTTTAGAATGATAACTTAAAAATCATTTTAATTAAAAAAAATGCTAAATTGCTACTCACCAGATGTAGATCAACACATGTAGAATTGTGTTCACAAGCATTGACTATGCAGTCATCAATGTCTTGGTCACATTTTAATCCTGCATATCCTGGGTTGCACAAACAATAGAAGCCATCGACAACTGCAACAGAGATCGAACTTCAGTGCTAAGAGTCATAACAATTGAATGTAGTAAATTTACTAAGTTTCAGTTAAATAGTATCTGGAAAAGATTAGGACCAGGTTTATTTAAATGGTGTGGACGTGTTAAAAAAATTGGAATAAATAAAATGTCATCTCAAAATATCTTTTAAATATGGAAGCAGATTCATGTACTGAAATATTTACACAATGGAAATATTTTGATTCAAGAGTTATAAATCAATGAGTTAAAAAGTGATGTTAAAAGTAATGAGTAATTTTCTATCATAAAACAATCACAAAATACATAACATTCTACGTTTAAAATGATATCAAAATAAGATATGGCAGGCAAAAAATGTTTGGTTTATTGGTTGCTTTTAATGTAGTTATTGCTATTGTAAGGACTTCCTCATATTATACCACTATATTAAGAGAAAACTTACTTGAGTTGAATTTTTCTATGACTCTTGTTAAGAATAACAAGATAATCATATGAATTCTGTCTCTTTTTCATCATTAGTAATCCAAATGGTGAAGAATCTTTAGAGTGCTCCATCCACATATGGAGTTCATGACAGAAAGAATCACACTTCTTGCAGGCCTGCATTTATTTGAACCTCAAAGGAGTCCCTGGGTTCTTCATTATCTCTGAGATTTACCATAGAATCTATTCTACCATCGTGTCTGTACACACAGCTGCTACTGTATTCATTAAATGCTTTTAGTCCTTCAGCACAGGAGCATTATTCATACGCTAAACCTTCCCAACTTCCTTAGAATTCCTGCTTTCTGCAGCCAGTGCACATAGGGTAGAGGAACTCAAATGTCTGCATGATAAAACTCAAGCCAGAGGCACCCCAAGGACAAGCTGTTCCCCCAAAAACTGGCACTTTGTCAGCATGAAGAACTTTAATACAGCTCATCTGAATTCCAGTTCAAAAATATCTCTAAACCCATGTAGACCGCATAGAAAACATCTGTAAATGTAATAGGAGATAGTCTTAACTAGATAGAAGATGAAGTCACTCACCTTATTCCCAGATAAGGAAATATATACTTTTAAAGATATTTCATTGAAACTGATTTTTATTTTTATTTTAATCAGGAGAGTTTTAGACAATGATGAATTTAGTAATTTGGGCTCAGTTCTTAAGATCTTATCTGAAACCAGTAGGCTGATTAGATCTTCTGCAAATTTTTCTAAAAAATATACATTTCATGGAAGTTTGTAAATCTTTTTTTTTTTTTTTGAAAAAGGATGTGAGGAAAAAGTAGAGAGATGCAGAAGCAGACAAACATGTTTACTCAGTGCTTAAAGTGTGGACCCTATGCGGAAAAGCTGAGCAGGCTTGCTTAGTATTAGACCTTTGGAGAAGTGTTCATAGTGAGAGGGCTATTTAACAATGACTTCCAGGATACTTGCACAAGTGACAGAGCTGAAATCCCTTACTAGCGCTAGGAGGTATTATGAGGCAATGGCCAAAAGTTGCAGCTCAGGAGATTTGGATGGAACTGGAAGAGTGTGAGAACTGCCAAAGTAGGTAATTGGAATACACTGTAAGAATCCGTGTCTCTTGGTGCTGTTTGAGTCCACTCTGGCTAGCTATGGACCCCAGCCCACATGGTCTTACAAGGCTGAAAGCGAAAGACAAGAAACGCTCTTGTCCATGAGGGAATGAGTGTCCTGTCTATTGGCTTGGGAAGAGATGCTGCAGGTTCTGGCTACCTTCCAGGTGGAAAAGAGGGTGTGACATTCCTGCAGAGGACCTCTTCCCCCAACCCCATCCCAAGGAGGATGGGAGAGGGGGAAGAGGACCCGGCCAATGGGATACCATTGAGGAGGGGCAGGGAGAGGGGTAACCAGGGGCGAGACCACCAGGGGGTATAGCAGAGAGGTACATCAGGGAAAAATTATGTGATGGGAGAAGAGAAAAAACAATCTATGTTACATAACATACTCAGTACAAATTTCCTATCACCCAGTGCAAAACAACAACTAAATAAACTATTTAGTGCAATACAACGATACGCTGTCCCAAAGAGTTAGTGAAATTTCTGTCCTTCTTTGAAGGCTTTCAAAACTCTGCTAGAAAAATCCCTGACTGACCTGTTCTATCACTGTTAATAGTCTAGCTTAGTGCAGGGTTGACTACATGACCTTCAGATGTTTTTCAGCTTTCCAGTCAGCATTTTGAGATCCTCTGAAGATTACTACTACTTTTTTTTTTTTTTTAGTTTTTTTATTTTTAACAAGTATAGAAAATGTCAGATAGATATCAAGAGCCCTATAAAACTTTCAAATAAGTACTCCATACTAAACTTGGCCTGCCGATACAGACAGAATATAGTAGGATAATCAAGTTGCTTTTAAAACCTTTCAGTACATCTTGCAATGAAAGAATAAGTTACACAGTTACATGCAGAAGGTAAACAGGTACACCCTTTTACATTAGTTTAAAATTAGGCAGAATTTCTTCACTTATTAGAATTATTACATATAATGCCTAAATGCTCCATGAGCTCTTTTTCAGCACTTGAATATTCTCTCATGAAATATGCAATATAAGATGTTTTTGGTTAATTTAGGTATCAAAGGAGACAGCACAAATCTCATTAAAATTTCTCATTAGCTGCAATTCTGACCCCCTGAACACAAAGACCCCAGTGCCAGGAGTTGAGGCATTTTGGCAAAAATATTCCTTCTGGTACAGGCTGCGAAGCTTCAGACAAGCTGAATTTCAGTAAATTATCCACTGTTCTCCCCAGAGCAGCTCAGCAGCTACAGACACTTCAAGAGAAAGACTACCCTACATTAAAGTGAGTAACCAGACTGAACTCACTGTCATAGCAGTATCCGTGGAGGCAAGGGTTAGAGCTGCACTCATTGACATTGATCTCACAGCGTGGACCTGCAAAGCCCTTCACACACTGGCAGTGGAATCCAAGGGGAAAAACGTCCAAATTCATTTCTTCTATGCACACAGCTCCATTCTCACAGGGATTGCTGGCCTCACAAGGCCTAAACTCACAGTTCAGACCTGAAAAAGAAAACGGCAAAGCTGTCAGTGTTAAATTAATGAATATATCCCTGCAGCTGCTGTCTAATATGAGCTTTATTTTCTTTATAACTGTGGTTAAAATCGAGTAGGAGGGTCTCAGAGGTACATATATGGATATTACCATGCAGAAACATCTATTTGCTTGGTATTATTTAAATAAAAAGACAATTTATATTTTGTTTATATTACTTTATATGATACAATACATTTTAAAATCTAATAGCTATCTCACAGGTTTTGATAGATAGATATATCTTCCATCTTTTCTCTTAACCCTTGTGCCTTGAACAGCTCAAAAATGAAATCTTTTAGAATGTATTTAAAAACAATAAATTAATTTTGATTGAAGCTTGCTGCTTGCTATTTTGTCTTGATAACCTGTTGTCACAACTACCACGTGAATTGTTCATACATTAATCTACAGTAGTGAACATGAATTAAATATATGTAACACTGTATAATTGTTCTGCTCATCATCCATTACTGAACACAAGTTATTTTACTGAAAATATGTACTTATTTAATCATGAGTGAATACCTTCTTTATTTATAAAAATTCTATACAATAGAAAATCTTGCACAGTCCCGTTGTAGTCTTTCCTTACTAACACTCTTGTATAGCAGATTATGTACATTTATTTGGACTACCTAAGGAACTGTGTGATTGTGGATCTTGGGTCACAAATGCCCTCATCTAAATCTTTAATTTGCAAAAATTAGATAAAAAGAGATTTAAAGGTCCATAAATTGAGCCTTAATTTGTTAGAACATAAAACACTGTTTCATGTTTTCCAGTACTGATAATGGGAACGAGGGTGGCAGAGACAACTGATATCAAATGGGTTTGGGTTTGTAAATCTGCCTGCATTTTCAGTCAGTGCTGCTGGAGGCAAGTCTGTTCTTTGAGGCTTACTTTCAGAAAGTGCTTGGTGACTCCCAGGGCTGTAACAAACTATGCACAAGCCCCTCTGAATCCCCTTGAAGCCTTTCCATAACTACTGAAGCTGTGTCTATCCCATGCTTTCTGGTGGAGCTTCCCAGGGTTTGCTGTGCTCCGAGCCTTCTGCACTTCCCCAGTGCCCTTGCCTCCACTATGGTTGTCCAGGCATTCCTTTTTGCAGCAGTTTCTCCCTGTCACAAAACCCTCTGACAGGCTGTAACCTTAATCCAGTGATGGGCAGTGTCATGGACAAAATAGAAACAACTTGAGGAAAACTGATTGAATTAACTGTCGATTAGAAATAGCACAGGATTGTAAAAAGCAAACACAAAGATAAAAACACCTTTCCCCACCCCTCTTTTCTTCCCAGACTCAACCTCACTCCTTCACTTCAGACTCCTCTACCTCCTCCTTACCCATGAATAGCACAGGGGGATGGGGAATGGGAGCTGTGGTTATTCCATGGCAGCTCTTTGACCCTGACACTTCTGGCTGTGTCAGTGCAGATCCCCCACAGGCCACAGCTCCTGCCAGAAGCCTTCATAATAATGAAACAAACACTGTCCAAAATGTCAGCAGGATTGTAGGTGAGCTGACTGCTTACTGTGGGATGGTCATTTAAGGGCTGAATTCTAAATGCTTTTAATAACAAGTACAACTAGAAGGAATAGAACTGAGGTTAAAAAACATCCAACAACCCTTTGACCCCAGTAATGATGCTGACAAAAGAGGAAAAAACAACACAAGTTGTTCCCTGTCTTTATACTTATGATCTCTCTGATGCAGGATGATCCTGCTAAAGACAGACAGCACTTTCAGAGCTGGAATTCATGAAATTGCACAGCAAAAGAAGCCATATGGCTCATTGAGATTTTGCCCTCAAGTTTCCATATTTATATCACAACAGCTTGACATGAGTGAAAACCCTGCTGATTCCTAAAGTGGAATAACACAAATAAGCTTAACACATGGCTCACAATCCTAAATGGAAATGACAGATGATCCAGTAATGCAGTACTTAATTTTCTTTACCTGGAGAGGCAGCTTTATGTTTTCATCTACCTTCTGTGCACTTCCTTTTCTCTTTATACTCATTCAGGAGCCCATTTATCTGTTTTTCAGCCACACCTGCTTGAGGTCCTGCACATTGGAAAGAACTGTGCTTTGAGGAAATGGTCTTTCAAGATAAGTCAGTGGGCTCAAGACAAATCCTTTTCCCCTTCAGTGCAATCTCTAATGGGAGCTAGCCAAACAGATTTCTGAGCTAATGAAAACCAGCTCACTGAAGTTTGGAGTCATTATTATGCTACTTGAATTTTGCATTTTTCTCAAGATTATGAACTCTACCATCTCACTGCCATTATTGTCAGTTGCTTCCTACCTCTACACCCTAAGCTTCCTCTTGCTTATTCACAAATACAGAGTACAGTTTTCTCACCCTGCAATTGCTTAAAAAATTTGGCAATATGATGAATTACTTGTGTCTTTCCATGTTGTCTTTTCAGCAGAAGTCAGTGTGACAATATCCCAAGGAGAACTAATGTTCCCAAGTCTTTTTTCCTGTTTCCTAAAGATGACTTCATAGACTATTTTGATCAAGCTATCTGTAGAAGACATCTACATGAAGTGTGTACATTTCTTTAAATGGTTGCCATTCCACTCTGCCTGATCTACTACTAAGTCTCTGTCCATCTAACTGAGTTCTTTTCACTGAATCAATTAGTTTTTTTAACTATCAGTCTTGAGAGTAATAAGACTATTCTGTTATTCAAAGAATCGGAGCTGTTGATATTATCTGAATATATTTTTGTTAAGCGATTAGTTATCAATGCTAATCAATACAAGAAGCAAGAAAACAAGAAAATAAAATTGGATGCGTTAATGTAGAATTTTTTTTGAAAATGCATATTCACACAAAAAATAAGGGTGGATAGAAGTAAGCTGCATAGGAGTAGGCAGTAGAGGTTGTACACTTGCAAAACAAGTTCACTTGCTGCTGCTGCTCTAATATCAACATTATTTTTCAAAGCTGTAAAAAAGATGTATAATTAAGGATAAATCAAACAGCAAACAGGCTGTAAGTTAATTTTTTAAATAAAATAGCTTAATCTTAAAGCAGTTTTTATGTTTTCAGCATTTTCTCTCTCTTCTAAATATTTGTTAAAGAATTTCTGAACAAATTTTTTGTACAAATGTTTTATTGTAGCTGATTAATTTCAATAAATCTATTTTGTTCTAAACATGAAACTTTTCACTTGATCTGAAAAGTATGTGAAGCAGCAGGTCTGTGATTGTTGACAGAAAGGAATGCTGCACCAGGAAAACAGTTTATAAACTGTCTTCTCTCAATGACATATCAGAATTTTTAAATTCAGAGTAAAGAGGTAATGTTCATTAAACAGTTTAATGAAAAAAAGAGAATGTCCAATAGATGAAATGTGAAATAATCCATCACAGAAGTTCATTGGTTAATTAATAAGTTCAGGTAGTCTTCACAACTGTGCTTATTTCCTTTAGACAGATTTAATCTTTTTGCTTGTTTAATTCTTAGCTATATTTTATTGATTGCAATAATAGATCATCTTTAATGGGCAACTAAAGGCCTCTCTATTAGAATAAACCTGAACAAACCTCAAAAGTATATGCACAAACAATTAAATTAAGCAGCCTGCTGAAGGACAATTTCCTTTACAGTTTCACAATATATTGCAGCAAGTATTATATGTATTTATCTACATTTAAGCATATACTAATAGCATATAGTATGCTTCTCTATGAGCATACTACATATAAAACTATTAATAGTTAATTTGGAAAATATTCTCTTTTTTGGTTTAGGAGTGGGAAGCATATTGCATGTTTAGAAATTTCATTCAGCTGATATTAATGAGTTTCCTTTTCTACTGTATTTGCTTATAATACTTCTAGGATAGAATTTCTAAATAGCATAAATGGATACTGAAAATAGATTTTATTTTGCTGAAACAGACCATCTTTTAGGGCTATTGCTAAAAGTCAAAAGCTTAATTTATAAAAATGACATAGAAAATAAATTGCCTGGAATAAATTTCTATTTCTTTATGTGAAGCTACTGATATTTGTTTCTTTTATTTGCTCAGCATAAATGCATACATGAAATGTACATGATGTGTAGTACTGAAGTTTCCTATAATCAAAAGCGACATCTCTGCAATGCTGGTATTCTTTAGGAAAATAATCTAATAAATAAAACATTTGCTACTAACATTTTATGGAATGAAATCTGACAATAGTTTTCAAATTCAGCGTTTTTCTGTAAAAGTATGGCCTGCAAAATGCATCTCATTTGACACTGATGGTACAATTATGACAATATAGTGAAAATAAAATATCTACCAGAAAAACAAGCGTGTCATTTGAATGGCAGTTTCCCAAATTATAACAAGAAGTCTGGTAATGGTGTTAAACATGCATTCACGAGGACAAGAAACTTTCAAGAGCTAGCAAGCAGGTAGCAGCACCAGCAATGTGGTTTTGTGATCACCACATCACTGCAATGGCATTGTTTCAGTCCTTTTTAACTTTTAACAACAGAGCTGAAAGACTCTTCTGACATTGACATTAATCACTACTCTTTTCCAAGACAAATTAGACAAATTGAATTCTTCACAATAAAAAGAAAAATATATTTAGATATGGGAAATTACTCAGTGTTCAAAGGCACTATAAAGTTATATAATGACATTCCTGCCCACCCCCCAATCCCTGCCCCCAGTCTATATGAAACTTACTGGCTTTCCCAAGATAATCCTTTTGAAATGAGGGGATACAAAAACTTTAATTCAAAAGTTATTTGATCACTTCAGAGAAATATGTGGTTTTGTTTTCGTCACCTTTACATAGCTCAGTAGCTCTTGCTCCCAAAGGCTTTCATAAACTTTCCATAACATCCCAGGAACACTAATGAGCAAGAAGTTCGATATCTAAAATCTGAATTCCTTGCAACTGTAAATATTAAATGTCTTAATGCTAAAGATAAAATTGTCTCTACTAAAAGTTCAAAACTTTGAGAAGCTTAGATGTACCTCTAAGCTTCCCATTATTTTAAAAACTTCCTGCATGCCTTGATCTGCTATGGGACATAAGAAAACATTTTCACAACTGAGATGATTAAAGACTAGTAAAAGTAAATAAAAAACACCCAAAAGTACCCTGAAAATGGGTAGGAAATAGAAAAAATAGGTGAAGCATGCATATTTTTACATTACTTGAAATTAAGCTGAGTATTATAATATTTTAAAAACTTAACAAGTGTTTTCTTATACTTCAAGTTCATTGCAAATCCATTCTTTTATTTGGAATCCAAATTTTACTTTCCATTAAAGGAATTGCTTTGAGATTCTGTGTATAAACAAAGAAAAGACATTTTCTCTGAAATCCATACTAATTGAAAATCATATACTTTTTTATTTTTAATGGAAGAGTATTTGAAAAAATACTTAGCACTTTTCAAGTAAAAATACATTTTCTTATTTATATATGATAATGCAGAGCATGCAAAAGTGCTAAAAGAAAGTATGAGAAGACCCACATCACAAATTTTAGAATGAAGATCACACAGAGGTGTATGCATTATTGCTCCATACCTGTATAAATTTCTGTAAAAATAGAAGAAAGCAAAAATTGAATATTTATTTAGACACATTTTTTCTTCAAAATATGCAAGTTCATAATATACAAACAATGAAGATATATTTGTATCCACATCTGTGAATTTCACATTTCACATAAAAACACGCTTCACTCTTCTCAGAAACCAAAAGAAGAATTCCACAACAGAAAACAATTAATAAAAATCTATTTCAGACTGAAATATATGGGAATGCTTTTCTTTTAATTCTTTATTTTATCTGCAATAGCATTCAACTGAAATTAATATTAGGTGTGGAAACCTTACTGAAAAATTGTATCAAACTTATGTTTTCCTTATGGCTTAGGACTTGTGGATGTTAATAATGAATTGCAATAATGGCTGCCTTTCATTCTGGTGGTCAAACTCTTCTTTGTTCCAAGATCACACTTTCATTTTCTTAAAATTTGAGTGATTAGACAGATATTATTTATAGCATTTGATACCAAGATTATAATTTTATTACTTTTAGGTTTTCTATTGACAGATGACCCTCTGCCATAAATAGCCTCACTATGTAGAAAAATGAAGCTAAAAACATTTGCATCAATAGTCAAAAAAGCCCCTCTGGAATTCAGTAAACTGATTTTTGAGGAGCAGCAATGCCTTCATAATTTGCAGGGCAGCCCTGGAAAAAGTGACCATGTTTCAAGTCTTTAAAAATGGTGGTTTGCACATACTTTCTGGAAACATAAGGGCCAGATTTCTATTTGCAATGATTGGAACTTTTATCATCTCCATAACTTAAATCTGCTTTCCAAATAGAGATCTTGAACACCATTCTGGCAGAATGACTGATGAAATTCAAACCCCTTATCGGCTGTAGGTGACCAGATTTGCACATGAAGTATTCCCAGATTACTCATGGCTGCAAAGGCTTAGAGAATTTTTCTTGTGGATCAAGATGTGTCCCAAGGTGCAAACTAAGAGCAGAGTTGTAACTGCAGCACTTACCTTGCTGAGTACCTTGCTGAATCTGTATGGACAGAGTTAAGCAAGCACGGTTTTTAGAGATGCCTTTGTGTTCTCAGTGCTGTTCTGAAAGGCCACAGCTCTCCTACAGACCTTGGCATAAGTGCCAGACCCTTGTGGATATCTAACATACCCAAAGGCCCCTAAATAGATACCAGAAATGGCTAGGAAAAAAGCTTTCTCTCTGAATTGTTTCATTTTGCAGACAGAAGCAGATGAGAGTATTCATTTAGATGGCAGCTTTTAGGAACAACACAAAATGGAATAGAAATGTCAGAAAAAAATCCAAAATCCTGCAGTGACTTCATAAATGAGCCAAAAGCAAGTCCCAGCTCATACTGATTTCCATTCAGGCATTACATATCCTTTATTGTTCAAAGGCAATGCATGTTTTCTTGGTAATATAGCCCAAATATGGACACTGCTTCTCTTCCCTCAAAAAGCTCCTATGTGATGCAGACTGCCCTTCATGTATCTATGCATCAGTTTAATTTTTTCCCCTTAATAAAATTTTATTTGGCTGTTCAGTGTCAAGAGCATGGCAAAACAAGATGAAACTTGATGTTGAACAGAGTATAGTGGTTTATGGTCTAACACACAGTTATGCTAGAAAGAGCCAGAGGTCTTGCAAACCTGCCTGTTTGCAAGGGGCTTGGCACAGGAAAGACTGAGGTTTGGCCTATGAGCACTGGAAAAGTAATTGCTCCATTATCTCTACTCCAGCTTTTTGCCTTCATGAGCACTTACGTTTCTTACTTATTATCTGTTTTGTAATTAGCTGTTCTCATAATAGAGTGTCCTGTGATGAAATCTTCATTATTACTCTTGTTTTTTCATAGACTTAAGCTTTTTGCTTCTGCTGAGTTTCCTTTCTTACTAGTTTACTTTCTTTTGCACCATGTTTGATGGTCAATTACCATTTTTGCTTTGATCTTAATTGAAACACATTTGGAGACGTGTCATTAAGGCTGCAAGAAATAAGTAGACATTTCCTCAGAACTGAATTTCAATTTTCCTCTACAATTGCGTATATTTGGTTTAAAAGGTCATACCTATTAGCAACATCCAGACAAAATACATGCAGTGCAGTTTTTGAAATGAGTCATGTAAATAATTTGGATCAAACAATAAAAATCTTTGCTCCATTTATTAAAAACAAGTTACTAAACAACTGGTGGTTTTTCTCTTTTGTTTTTAAGAAAAAAAATCATGCCAACTCTCATAGGACTATCACATATTTAATATACAGTCTCTAATTGAAACTAGAATTTTAATGCTTCCTTCCTTCCTGAGCTTTCTTTGGGAAGAGCAGATTACTGGCTCAGTCCATGTGTTACTGGACTGAGCTGTTACGTTAGAAATGCTCTTAGTTTCACCTTTGCCTTAAATACAGGTGTAGAAAATGGGGAAAATTTGCAGTCCTGGTGTTGGACTGCAAGATCTGCTCTTAGTTATCAATAATACCAAAGAAGAAGAAAACAGCCTTTAAAGTCTTACTTTATCTTCTGTAAAAATGAGCTGGTCTAGAAACTGTAGTGAGATCATTCACCTTGTGCATGATAGGAATGCTGAAAAGCAGCTTGCCTGATACAGGGTAAAATTCTCTCTGCTACATTCTCAGCAAGGACTGTTGTCTAATAGTTGTGAGTAACTTCATTGATGTGATTTAAAAATGTTGGCATTTCAAAGCTCTGAACAATAAGGTTCCATAAATTACTATGATCTTGACAGTTAAAAGAATATTTGAGTGTCCTCAATGTTCTTTCAAAACACTAAAACCACCAATAAAACAGCGTAGATATAAATACAGACAAAGCTGTAGCTTTATTAATTGCAGTGGTTTTGAATATGTTTGAATTTTTAATGGGACAGCTCAGTGTTTTCTGGCAGAGCTATGGGAGCTTTCATTCTACCTTCTCTGAAGTTGTTAGGACCCCTAAATGAGATACAGCTTCATCATGTTTCTCACCCCTTCTGCTCTCTGCCCAAAGACTTAACATCAATTCTCTAATAACTGTGACTCTGTTATAGAAAGACTTCAATTTTAGAATCAATATCATAATAGAAAAGTTATTATAATAACTTCCCAGCTAGGACACTCTAATGCAATCAAACGCTCAATAATATTAACAATATTAAAATATTTTGTCTAGCATCCAAATCAAGTTTATCTTCCTTCCTTCTCCCAGTTCCAGTTGCTTGTCAGCAGCAAATACAACAGCTTCTCTCCTCTCTTTCAACCCTCTCTCCTCTGCTTCTGATGTCCACTGATACAAAATTTCTGATATACACGACTATCATTGTTGAACCTCATTTATGATAAAAAACACGTGGAAGTGGAGTAATTTCTGTAATGTACATTTTCAGGTACTAATTTATTACAACCAGGCAGAAGCAACTGTACCAGACATATTAAGGATAAGTCTTATAAGTAAAGAACATCACATTGCAGCGCATGTAAGGGGCAGCACAGCCATTTCAGCTTTAAAGCATGAGGTGTGATAATGACTTGTACTAAACAGCTTAGTGGCAGAACAGTGCTGAAAGCCAACAGAAACAAAGAACTGGACTTTTATAAGTGGATTGTCATGTTTGATTAATTAAAACATATTCACAAGCACATACAGTACTTCTGGCATAGATAACTATTATAAATGGCAAAAGCACATTATACAAACCTAGATGCTATATTTTTTTCTCTGTTTACCTTAGTCACAGTACAGGCTCAGAGGGGCTCAATAACTTTTAGGATTTCTGTGGTATTACAGGAATCTCTTTCTCTTACCAGATTAATAACTTACTATGGTATAAATTTTATTCTCTTAATCAAATCTTGAGCTTCTCCAAATCAAAGTCAAATGAATTATGATGTAAAAGTACAGAGAATATTAAGCTCATTATTTTGTACCATATCAGGACTACAGGTAAAACTTAAAAATTTTGGAAAAGAGAAAATCAATTTTCAACTCCACAAGGACAAGGAACTTGGCTGAAATAGGATGAAAATACTTCAGCTATCATACTTAGTAATTAGAACATTATTAGACGTTGACAAAGTTGTTATTTCATATCTGAAAGTCTTATAGGTTTCTTCAGTTTTCTCTTGAATTACACATAGGTGGACTGCTAGTACTCTCAAGCTGTTAGTCTGAACATTTGGAAACTCAAAGGTAGTAATTTCAGTGGCAAAAATTCCAGTGAAATACTAGAATTTATAGAAAGACCATGATCTACACTGCATAGGAGGAAATCTCTTCTCAGGGGAACACTGGTAGAGAGGAATGCATTAGTTTTGTTAGGGTTACACCAGCAGCATCAGAAGATAGAATTCTCCAGTGCTCTCTATTCACATTTTGAAAATTGGATTTTCTAAAATAAGAGTTGGTGCCTACAGGAGAAGTAGAACTTCATTCACATATCAGACATGTAGAGTTAAGTCTCACAACCTGGACTACAGACATGTGAGGAAAAATTTAGCTATATATCACTGCTCAAGTATCAGTTTTCTTAGAAGCTTTTGATGACTTCCATTATTCTATGCAATCCAATGGAATGAGTAAAAACATTTTTTCTAAGTAGACAAAACTGTGCTTTGAAAACACCAAACAAAGAGACCCTCTGCTTCTCCCAAGAAAAATAACAGAAACTATGAGTACACCTTAATTGAATTTCTGATTAATTTTCATATTTATATAAAACATTTATAAAAGTTTTTAAAATATAAAAGTATCAATTCAGGATATTATAAAGTTTGCCCATGGAAAAAATGAATAGCAGCTATCTTGCTCTCAGAAGACTTGAAATGGCAAGAAAGAAAAAATTTGCTTAAAATCATGAGGAAATTAAGGGGAAGAAAAAAGAAAAAAATCAAAACTATCTGGTCATAATCTCCCTTAGTCTTCTTGTTAAAATAAACAAATAAAAAGAGTCAAGGAAATAAAACCAAAAGCAAGATAATTGTATGTAAACCAGTTTCTATATATAGAATAAATTTCTAGCTTAATCTGACAGACTGTCTTTTGTATGAATGCACCTGAATGCCCAAATCATGCTCTGAATCATCATTCCTTATTTCCCCATTCTATATAGTGGGCATCTGCTGTACATCTCCTGATCAACTGGTACATGTTCTTGATTTATGCTCCTAATAATAGTGCGTGCCCTTCAAGTCAGATTTTGTGATGGGACAATCAAATCATTACAATATTCTATGGAAATATATCTTCAGATTGCTTTCCAGGTAAATGACAGCATCCATAACACAGCATTTATTGTTTTCCACTAAGAATATCAGAAGCAAGAAAATCTGTGAAAATTCTCAAAACCAAAACAGGTGCTCCTATATAATTTTTGCCATTAACATCATGCATGTCCTTTCTTAACTAAATGCTTCTGTAATCTGTAATTAGTGCACACAAAGCTGTTCATTAAAATGCCCTGAATATATTCAGACAATTAGAAAACAAAGTTTAACTAGACATTATGTTGGCTTACTGTGAATCTGTTAAAGGCTACATTTACAGCAGTTTAACACTAAATAAACAGATGGTGTGAGACAGAGGTAGCGTTTTCATATAAACCTGATCTACTTTTATTTATACCCATATAAATCCAGACAAAATCAGTATAAGAATTCGATGTTGGAAGGTGTTGAATAAAGCTGTAAAAGAAGTAAACAGCCTCAGACATCCTGTACCAAAAATATTATCATAGAATGGAGTCATAGAATAATTTAGGTTTGACCTAAATGACTTCCAATTTCATTGAGTCCAACCTCTGACCAATCACCACCCTGTCAATTAAACCACAGCACCAAGTGCCATTGCCAGTATTTTGTTGAACACCTCCTGGGATGGCAATATTGGTGCTTCCCTGAACAGCCTATCCAATGCTTAATCACCCTTTTAGTGAAGAAATTCTTCTGGTGTTAAACCTGAACCTTCCCTGCTTCATCTCTTGTCCTGTTGATGCCTGCTTGGGAGAAGACGCCAACCCCCACCTTGGTACAATCTCCTTTCAGGAAGTTGTAGAGAGTGATATGAACACCCCTGAGCCTCCTCCTCTATAAGCTATGCAACGTCAGCTCCCTTAGCCACTCCTGGTATGACTTACACTCCAGAACCTTCACCTGCTCTGTTGTCCTCATGTGCACATGCTCCAGCCCCTCAATGTCTTTCTTGCAGTGAGGGGCCCAGAACTGGACACAGGATTTGTGGTGTGGCCTCACCAGTGCCAAGTACAGAGGGACCCTGTCCTGGTCCTGCTGGACACACTATTGCTGATACAGGCCAGGATTTCACTGCCCTTCTTAGCCACCTGGGTACACAGAGGCTCATGTTCAAACTCTGTCTACCCTAGGTTCTTTTCTGCTGGGCAGCTTTCCAACCACTCTGCCCACAGCCTGTAGAGATGAATATGTATGAATGTAGATGAATAGGGTTTCTGTGTAGGACCCTTCACTTTGTCTTATTGAACTTCATAATGCTGACCTTGGCATACTGAACCAGCCTGTCCTGATCCCTCTGGAAGTTAGCCTTTCTAACTTCCAACTGATCAACAATCCCACCCAATTTGGTGTTATCTGCAAAGTGGTTGAGGGTGCCCTTGGGCCCTTCACAAAGATCATTGGCAAAGATAATAAGCAGGACTGGACCCAATATTGTGTCCTGGCAGCCGCACTAGTGACTGGCCATCATGCAGATATGGCTCCATACATCACCATTCTCTGAGCCTGGCCATCTAGCCAGCTCTTAACCCAGTGAAGAGTGCCCCTGTCTTAGCCATGGATTACCAGCTTCTCCACAAGTGTGCTTTTAGGGACAGTATCAAAGGCTTTGATGAAGTACAGGTGGAAAACATCTACAGCCCTGCTGTCACTCACCAGGTGGGTCAGGCAGGACCTGTCTATCCTAAACCCACACATCTGGGCCTGATCCCCTGGTTGTCCTGTGTGTGTCATGTGATTACACTCGAGATAATCTGTTCCATGACCTTGCCAGGTATCAAGGCCAGGCTGACAAGTGTAGCTCCCCAAAACTTCCTTCCAACCCATCTGAGAATGAGCATCACACTGGTCAACCTCCAGTCATTTTTGACCTTCCCAGTTAGCCAGAGCTGATGACAAATGATGGACAGCGTCTTGCTGAGCTCTTCTGGCAGTTCCTCAGTGCCCTCAGGTGGATCCCATCTGGCCTTACAGACTTGTGAGTGTCTCAGTGGCACAGCAGGCCATTAACTACTTCCTCCTATAATGTTCTCAGAGGATCTCAGTTACATTTTATGAGTCTTGCCAGCAGGACTTACCTTTTCCATAAAGAATATGAGACACTGCTAGTCTGTTGAAGGATGACTACAGAAACATTGACTTTCTGAATTTTTAATTGCTTACTTAAATATCTAATGAATACAAAAATCTGCTGGAAATCTGGTTCCTTTTGCAAGATATACTCAAGAGACCAGTATTTCTAACCATGTACTGAAAATTATTTTACGTCTTCCTGCACAGAGGCAATTCTGATAATGCAGTATTCATTTACTTGTTACTGTACTGGATTTTATTCAGTAGAATAAAGTAAAACTAACAAAAATGACAGACTAAATTTTGACCATTAATTAGAATAATAAGAACAAACATGAATGTTTGTTCATGAGCTCATGAAAAATGAATTTTATTCAACCATCTTCCCTATAGGGGAAAAGTCCTGCTGTCTCAACATACTAGGAAAATTGTCTTTTAATGATTGTTCTGGAATCCTAAGTAAGTATCATTATATTGAACTGCTGGAGGAAAAATGTGTTTATATTTAATTTACAAATCAATAGGTGCTTTTAATGGAGACTATCACTTGAACTATATTTGCTCAAGAGCACCACAAAATTTGTTTCTTTAAATTATTTTAGCAGTAAGATTTTAAATTTAACTGAAAATTTTATTTATATGAAAAATTTTATGAAAAATTTCACAATAACTTTGTAATTTAAGTGTATTTCTTTTAAAAGCATAATAAGAAATAATCACACAGTTTCTGGATTCCAGGATAGCTATAAATTGTTTTCTAAAAATGATAAAATAATGTAGAGAATGCCAATAGAATTAGAGAGAAAACTACATAGAAAATCAACCAATCTTTGTGATGGCAGCCTAATGGGTACATACCTCCTATTACCTACGTAAGCAATTTTATTCTGTTAACAAACTGATTTTAAAGTATCAGTTTTGTCTAATAAAGAAACACACCTAGCAGATGTATAAACAACGATCCCTTCACCTTAGTTGCAGCTGAAGGCATAAATATGGCTGGTCACTTTGAAAGCTTTGTTTGGGGAAGTGAAGGACTATTAATGCTGTAGGAACACTGAAATACATTTAAACAAATGATAGAAATGCCTTATAAAGGTAATTATGTTTGCTTTCCCCTCTCCCTTGGTGTTCATTACCTTTAAACGGAGCCACACATTGGCAGAAATAATTACCAGGTTGGTCAATGCAGGTGGCTCCATTCTTGCAGGGAAATGAAGCACACTCATCTATATCTGTTTCACATCTTGCACCTTTGAAAAGATGAAAGTTTTGAACACTTACTAAAAAATCAGGTGCCAATTTCTAATTAATTTGCACCATAAAAATCTCAAGCAACTTGTGAAGGCAAGCCAACATACATCAGCCAAACAAACAGACACACTACTAATTTCAACATCCATTTTGTTCTTATAACCACAAATGCATACCAACTTATTTCTGAGTTGCTAAATGGTAATTAGTCTTCCTTATGTATCCAAGCTTTGAAGACCTTTTTAAATGCAGACTAATTTATCTTGTGCTATGAGGTTTACCGATGCAGTGTTCCAGTTAGTTGGAATGCAAATTAAACATTAGACCAGGGCAGATAAAGAGAAATGACAATAAAACACCAGCAAATTAGTCAATAATGTCTTAATGGATGCTTTGTGCATTACCTGGATGTAAAAAAAAAAAAGGTTTGCTATGAAAACAGCTCACCAGTAAAACCAGGTAGACAGAGACATTTATAGCCACCAATTAGGTCTGCACATGATGCATTATGAAGACATGGAGAAGACTGACATTCATTTATATTTGCTTCACAAGTTGTACCTATGAATATAGAATCAAGGGAAGGGGAAAGAAGTTATTTCATGGCACCTTTAGGTAAGGACCAACATTTATTTTAACTGAATATAACTCACATATCAGCATCTATTTCACACCCTTTTAATATTCAGATCTGGGTGTTTATGACAGATGTTCATCTTCTGAATGCTTAATTCATTCACTAATTTTTCAAAAATGTTAAAAGTACAGTAATCAAACAGTTAACTAAGGCTTAAAGCAGAAAATTTTCTTTTTGTATAAATATAGAAGAACAGAAACTGTGTTACAGTAAGTACAATAAGCAGCATTGCAGTGGTGTGAGAGGAAATACTTCTTATGTTCATGATAAGGCAAAAGATGTACTCCCAAAAAAATATGAAATCTGTTATAGACAAGAAGAAAATTTATTCTATAATTAAATGTAGACTATAAAAAACCCACATAACTACTCAAAGTATAAAAATACTTAATTGCTAATATTTTTCAGTGAACCAAATTCTTTACCATTTGAAGAATAATTGAAAAATTGCATCGATTGCATGATTTGGGAAGTTAAAAGCATTTAAAGAAATAAAAATGCAAGTGATAATTCTTCTGAATAGATGAGTGGTAGAAATTACTATTTTGCACTGGGACATTTGAATTATGGATTGATTTATATTTTAATGACTAAATGTCCATGATGTTTAAAAAATGAAGCTTTAAAAAGAAAATACATACGCTTTAAATTCCTGATCTAAGCTGAAAGCATAGCTGCAGCTATTAATGCACCTACTTATCAAAGCTATTAAATTTTTCATATAAATTGTACAAATATGACAAACCCAAAACCTTTACCACACAGTGGGATTTTTTTCTCAATTCGAGGATATTAAAGCTTCAAAATATTTTAAAAGCTTGCAGAAAAAACTATCTCCAATTTTCAGAATTCACTGAACTCCACAGATCCATTTTCAACAGAAAATACACCAGTTAGCAGAAAACACCTAGTTCTGTGCTATCATGAAAACAAAATGGGTAATTTGGTCAAGATATGCCTCTTCTAAGTGACATGTTTATGACTTCATATGACACCCAAATGTGAATACATGCATTTCATTTGATATGTTAAAAAAATGGTGTAAAACTCAGAGTAGGTTTACAAAGTTATCATTCTGTGGATTTTTTTTTTACCTTCAAATCCATCCTGACAGATGCAACTGAAGGCATCCAGGTGATCAACACAAGTAGCACCGTTGTGACAAGGGTCACTAAGACACTCATCCACTTCAATCTCACAGTTATGACCTGGAAACAAGTGGAGGATTAATTTCCCTAGAACACACCACTGGTGAATCATCAGTGCAGGGAGCAACAACAAAATGAAATAAATGAGCTTAGGTACAGGGAGCTTTTAACAATGAACCATAAATTGTCTTTGGGGAATTTATTTCTTTTTGATTAAAGGAAAAAAGCAGAATGAATATAATGTTCAACAAAGATTTTATAGAGTCCTTACAGATGTTATCAAAAACTTGCATATTTTCATATTTAAGGGCAAGAAAGCCTTGAGTTTTCATAAAAGATTGTAAATGTAAAGATGGTTTTCAAGGAAAAAATTTAAATTATTTGGTTTTTTTTTTTTTTTTTTTTTTCATTAATTTATTAATTTGTGGCTTTGTTTTAAAGATCAGAAAAGCAAATTAAGAGGTATGCAGTCCTCTCAAGGTCTCAGTTCCTCTGGTTGTCTGTGTCCTCCTTGACTATTGAGGGAGATTTTAGTGTCATCCTGTTCCTGCTTTTGGAGCCCTTTCAATGTCCCTGGAGCTAGACAGGATGGATCTGGGTAGCACAGTGATATGCCCCTCAGGGAATTCCTACTGCCCTTGATTATTTCACCATATAGTTGATCAAAAATATCTGTATATGTATCTAGAAATTTTTTAGGAAAAATATCTAAAAAAAATAATCTAGAAAAAAATTTTTTTTTTCTTTTACACTGGCGTCTGAAAATACCATGTCAGTATGCTGACAAAGACAAAATAATTTTAATCTAGTCAGTGTAATGACAATGGCCTGCAGGGTAGATGCAAACATGAGTACTTAAACCTACCCAGGATTTTGGATGTATTTTTGGCAGTTGAGACCCTGTTAGTGCAGCCTTACTATTACAGAGAGCACAAAGAAGTTAAATTAAGGCCAACTTGGATATGGCTGGGAGTTTAAATCACATCAGTGTAAGACAGACATCATGTCTAAAATAGTATAAAGAGTAATTGGAGTGGAAATAGTCCCTTGTAGTCAGTAGTTTTTACAGCTGAATACTTTTACTCAGCCAAGTACTTTTGTGTGCGAGGAAACAAAAATTGTTTCTGCCTGAATCAGAGGCACAGCGCTAAATTATCTATTGCTACTTTTGAACAAACTTCTATTCTCTGGTTTAGGCCTGTCTGAAACATGTTAAACAGCACTTCTATGAACTTACCTATAAATCCAGGTGCACAGAAGCAGAGATAGCCACCCACAATGTCTTTACAGATGCTGGAGGCCCCACATGGTTGTGATAGGCAGGCAGCAACATTAGCTTCACACAACTTGCCAGTAAAACCTGTTGAAAAACAGAGTAACAGAAGACTTAGGAAATTTATTAATCTGAGAAAACATACAAGTGATAGACCAATTAAATGTGTGCTGTTCTTATGTTTAAAATCTTATTTAGAATAGCATAAAATATTCAAATTTACTTGAAAGTTTCAGTTTCATATACAAAACCACTCTAAATGGAACAAAGTCATAATTATAAAGTCAATGATAAAGCTGTACTTCAAATTATAATAAACACCCTTGAAAATACAATGGGCATCAAGGAAATAATAAATTTCATTGATGACAGAACTTTTGGTTTTGAATTACACAATAAATAGTTGCAAGAAAATATTCTTTGTTAGACTGGTTCTTTTTCAAACCACATTAATATATTTAACTATGTGATATAAAGCAGTGGAAAAATCAGTCCATATGTGTGGAGTTAGTATCCAAATGCTGAATATAAACACAAAGTTTCAAATTTTAGACATTTTGGTTTGGTCATAAAAACTTAGTGAGCTAAAGCATAAGAAGTACAGTGTTCTGGTCTCCTATTAGCTGAGCACTTAAAATTTTCTAAATATTTTTAGTGCAACAAAGATCAAAACAGACTAGTACAATTATTATAATTTAACAAGTGTGGCATGAAAAGCCACTAAAGACTTAAACCAGAGGTTTGGTTAAGTGAGTTAAATATAATGAATTCTAGTGTCTTAAAAACTTAGATGCTAAGTCTGGCTCAAGATCTGAACTTCACATTTAATTTAAAAATATATTTATTAAGCAATGCCATGCTTCAGCAGCATAGGTATTGCCATGACAGATTCCAGTGCACCATTGAGGTTCCTCATATCTGACATTGTGTTAGTCAAATTTTTAGACAACAAGGAAGACTCTGGTCAAAGATGTTCAAATAAATCTGCATTCCTACTGTATGCCATGATAGCTTTCAAAACTAAACATAACCTAGTTTTAATAGTGTTTATTAAGTGCAGTTGACTACAATAAATAATTACAAAATTTCATAAGTTCAGTTCTGCATGGACCTAGTCTTTAAGAGGAAGTGGAAATGTTCTTAAGGCATGACTGAAGATCTCCTGATCTGAAAGAATTTTTAACTTTTGAACATCTTGTAGCATGAGGGACAACAGCAGCTTCTGACCATCAGGGTAAATTGCTGGAACATGCTGCACTTTTCAAATTCTGGCTTGTTGAACAACCCTTTGAGGCAGAAATACAAGGCAATGCATATTAAAGCTGCCCTACACATGCAGTCATTTTCATCTCTAAATCAGTAGATGCAGAAAGGTGACTTTAAGCTATGTTTCAATTCCATCCTAAACACCAGCTGTGCAACATTCTTGCACAGCTGAAGATTTCCTCCTTGTTGGTTGTCATTCAAAATTTAAGTCTCTCACTTTGCCTTTGTAAATAGCTCTTAACATCTGCATAATGAAGTACTACATAAACCTAATATAAAAAATTAATATAAAGAAATAAAATGAAAATGTTGATCAATGATGGTATCAGCTATGCACAGATATAGCTATAGCTGTTGCATGTGTAACTTTCATCAAAATAAAGATAAGAAACATAGAAACGTGAACAGATTTTTTTCCTTGATGAAATAAAAATTATTATTCATAACGATATAGATTTGAAATAAAGGTCTTAATCTATGTGTCCTTTTACTTCTGTGTTTTAAATTAATTATTGAAGTATTACAGCATGGATTTTTGGGCTTTGAGCAATCTGATCTACTTAAAAAAGTCGCTATACTAAGTTGAAGAACAAAGGGTAGTGGTTTCAGGGCTCAATTTTAATATTATACATCTGGTTATGTATAAGGTTTCTCTTCAAAACAGATTCAGTTGGATAGATTAACAATACTTAACATTTCCTACAAAAAGAAATGACCACATTTTGATTTCTTTTTTTTCTTACAGATATACAAAAAATACTTCATAAGTTTAGATAATGAAAATTTCACAGCAGAATATCTGATTATTTTTTTAATGCCACATTTGCATTCTTGAGACATTTCTTTTTGACAAACTGAAATGCCTCATGACAAAAGTGATTTTTACTAGTCAGGCTGTGACACTTAAATTCTCCAGGGAGATCACTGAATTGTGATCCATTCTGACATAGTCCAGCCACACAGTGATTTATGGCAATTTCACTACATGGCTCCTTATATTCTGGATGGCAGGTACATCTGAAACTATTAACTGAAACCTCACATTAAGGGTTATTGTCAGAGCCAGCAGGATTTGATGTGCATTCATTCACTCTTATTGAACAAATAGTACTTCTGGGGAAAAAATTTTATGGTTCCTGTTAAAATTAGATCTAAGAAAAGCTTAAACAAAAAGGAAGGAAGGAAGGAAGGAAGGAAGGGAGAGAAAGAGAAATGTCAGAATTTAATAAATTCATCTAAAACCTGGACAATATTTTCATTGTCATTAGGATTCATACATAATAGGTTGCAAATTTATCCTTATATGTACTGAATGTGATAATAATTGTATATAAAACCATTTCATTAATTTGATTTTGGAATAGAGTGGTTGTTTGTCATTCAACACCTATCATAGTGAAATTCTGCTTGTGCTTGGGTCCTCTAGAATTTCAAATATAAAAATTGTACTTACTGAAAAAATTACACAAAATGTAAAAAATTTAAGAAATATGCAATTAATACTAGCTGTTTTGAACAAAATAAAGAGTAATAAAGAGGGAAAATCATCACCTTGGCATGTGAACTGGGTTTGCTTGGCCTAGTTTTGGTAGCAGGGTAGGGGCTTACAGGGTTGGCATCTCTGAGAAGTTGCCAAAAACTTCCCCCATGTCTGACAGAGACAATGCCAGCTGCCTCTAGGACAAACCCCCTGCTGGCCAAGGCCAAAACCATCAGCAAACGGCAGTAATCCTTATGTGGCCATATTTAAGGAGGGAAAAACTGATTGCACAGAGGTAATTTTGGCCAGGGAAAAAGGGGGTAAGAACAAGAGGAACAGCTCTGCAGACTCCAAGGTGAGAGCAGAAGGGGGGGCAGGAGATGCCCCAGGTGCCAGAGCTGAGATTCCCCTGCAGCCCCTGGTGCGGCCCCTGGTGAGGCAGCTGTGCCCTGCAGCCCATGGAGGGCCATGAGGGATCATGTTACCTAGGCATTGTCAGATTTTTGTTGGCTTCAGATGCTTATATATAGTTCAACTTCACATTTTTTCCAGTATTTTTTCAATAATTCAAGTTAGACCTGACAGTTCTATATTTCACTTCTGCCATTTTCTACCTTTCTATAACTTGGGCCCAACCACAACTACAGCACTAAAATTACTCTGAATCCTTTCTAAATACCACAGTTGAAGCTGTAGCAAAAAAAACCCAGATTTTACAGTATGCATTTTCATTTGAACACTCTAGGTTCTTTTGTGACAGATAAAATCATGAAGATTATTCCAGGAGTTATAGAAAAACACCTGAAAAACAGCACAGTGTTGGTCACGGCTTCATGAGGGGAAAGTCCTGCTTAAACATTGTTTTGTTTTAGGACAAAGTAATCCTCTGTTGATCAAGGGAAGTCAATTGATGTAATATTTCTGGATTTCTGCAAAGCTTTTGATACAGTTTCTCACACAACCCTTCTGGACAAAATGTCCAGCACACAGCTGGATAAGCACATCATGTGGTGGGTGAGCCACTGGCTCAGGGGTTGGATGCAAAAGCTTATAGTGAGTGGGGTGACATCAGACTGGTGACCTGTCACTGATGGTGTTCCACAGGGCTCCATCCTCAGCCCTGTGCTCTTCAACATCTTCATAAATTACTTGGACACAAGAATTAAAGGAATACTAAGTCTGCCAATAATACTAAACTGGAAGGAACTGTTGACTCCCTCAAAGGCAGTGAGTCCCTGCAGACAAACAGAAAAATTAGGATATTGGGCAATCACCAACCTTATGAAATTCAGCCAGGGAAAGTGGTGGATTCTGCATCTGGGTCAGAGCAACCCTGGATGAATGTACAGATGGAGAATGAAGCACTGGAAGTAGCACTGGAAGCAGTATTCACAGAACATGAGCCAGCAGTGCCCTGGAGCCAGGAGAGCCAACCCTGTCCTGGGGGCATCAGGCACAGCATCACCAGCTGGGCAAGGAAGGGGATTGTCCTGCTCTGCTCTGCACTGGGGCAGCCTCACCTCAAGTTCCGTGCGCAGTTTTGGGTGACTCAATATAAGAAAGACATTAAAGAGTGTCCAAAGGAGGGCAACAAAGATGGTGAAGGTGAGACAGAGTAGAGATCCATTCTGAATTAGGTGAAGTGTCTAGCAGCGGTGAAAAGTCTGTGAGGCCAAAGCTGAAGGAAAAATTCGCATGCCAAGACAGCAAGGAGACAGAGAAAGAAAAACAGAAAAGACCACGAGGTCAATTTGCCCCCGACCCAGGAATTCCTTTGATAAAGAAGAACTGGCGATAAATGTCGCGCGGAATGAATATGTATGAACCTATTGTGCATTTGGAAGGGGGATAAAAGGAGACCTGAGATCTTCAGGGGTACGCGTGCCTTTTGAGGAGAGTTTTCTCCGTATGCGTCCGGCACCGTAAATAAACATACCGAGCTTTACAACTTTTATAAAGTTGTGAGGTTTCTTCTTTTCTCCGCAAAACAAAGGGTCTTGAAGAGAAGCTATATGAGGAGTCATATGAGGTCACTTGATCTGCTCAGTTGCTTTTCAAATGTTCTTCATCTATTCTTGAATATAGCACAAATCAGCAGAACAGAAGTTCTGATCAAAGTTCTTTCAAAAGGAGCAAATCTGACCTTTCTGTAACTTTTTCTCTCTTCATTCTTCCCCATCTAGAATTTCTTTCTCCCAACAAGGGCTAGTGAGTGCACCATGTCTCCTTTAGCTACTTGACTTCAATGACCATTTCTACTGCTTTTTGGACAAGTTGGACCTTAAGCCATACACTCAAATGAGAAGATGTTAAGAGAACTGTCTCTCTACAGTGTTTTTCT